TTAAAAAAATAAAACAAGTTAGCAATCATGCAACCAGCAGGAATTGACGAGGTTTATTTAAGAAAGGTGAATTTTAACAGGCTGCAACAACGTTTTCACTTTAAGCAATTTTCGTTACAGGAAAAATGATAAATAATAAATTATTAAAGTTCATTGGCAACTAAAAACACGCTTTCCGTTTGAATAAAATAATTTAACCTTTGAAAATTGATGAAGGCGCGCTGTCACTCAAAAAAGCATCACTTTTCATTTGCTGTTGAACAATGTCGATGAACGCTATCACTAATCCCGTGATCATGTATTTTAATTTACTCGCTCGCAAATACTAATCGAAATTAGCAGGAAAAAGCTAAAGGCTGCAGGATAACTATTGATTAACATAATACAAATAATTAAATGAAGGATGATCATCGCAGTTATATATACGTAACTTTTGCAGTTGCGAAAAGAAAGCCTGAAAAAAATTCAGGCTTGTAGGGGATTGGAACCCTTGACCTCTGCGATACCGGTGCAGCACTCTACCAATTAAGCTAACAAGCCAACTGGGAGCAGGTCGTTGAATTGGTTCGTTATAAACCCGTGAAAGGATGATTGATGAAGTTATGAATATATGAAAATCGTTTAATTCTTCAATCTGCAGTTTACATATATGACTTTCAGATATTCATAACTTCATAATACAAACAGTAATCTAACGGCACCTCGCTGTGCGCAGCTGCCAAGTGAGTGAGCAAGGTCCAACAAGTTTTGCCTTAAACTTGATAAAATGAATGTCGCCGTTTTTGTCATGTTAAGAGGAGTTTTCATTACTTTTTTAACAAAATGTCCACCATCACCTTGGAAACGAAACCTCTTCATCAGCTATTAATCGTTAGGCTTTTAAATTTCCTGAGCTGATGTACGTATTGTTTGTTTTTGGAGAAAAATTACTAGCCCTCTCTTTTTAATTTTGAGGAACACAGAATAAACTTGTTCTAGAAATTCGTCATCAAATGCACTTCCAAACCCGCTTAAAATAAATGCAGGAAAAGGACAGACGTTAAGTAAAATGAAAATCTAGCTCATATTAATAATGAAAAGGCTTTTACAAACTGTTTTTCCTGTGGTGTCAGTCCGCAACTAAGGTCTCCAATTCGTTGGGTTGATAAGAATTGTAGCATATGCATTGCAAGTAGCTAGGCAGCTTAGATGAGTTCAACGCGGAAAATAATAATAGATATTTATCTATTCGTTATTTTAATGACATTGCAAAATCTTTAAATGGCTTCAAAAAGTTACGTTTTTTCTGAAAGTGACAACGAGGGAGTGATGTTCAATTGTGCGGTTGGTAAAATCGGTAGCAAATGCATAGCAAGTTGATAACTCCGCTAAACTCGCGGAGTCAGGCAGAAAATGATAGTATATATTATATACACTAACCTTTTAGCTCGGTTGACAAAGATTGGTTCCATAACAAGCTGATGATGCATATGAATGTTAGAGGGTACATTATTGATGACGGGCTAGCATCACTCTTGATGTAAGGCCAGGCAAAATGTCGCGAGGGCTGCTCTTGAACTACGGCAAGACGATCTTGTTTAATACACTCTGCCAAGAAGAAAGCAAAATGAAGTTTGCTCACATATGTAGCAAGCCAAAATAGATTATTGCATTAAAATTCAATTACCTAGAACGTCACAAAAATATTGTGGCTTAATGACCCATTGTAACAGAGAACGTAATAAGATGCGGCAAAATTTTCAGTAACGGCCGTAATTAGCTGTGAGTGCTAGGTTGAATTGTTAAAGACGGACGCGTTATTCGCTCGTAAATCAGTGCAATGTACCGTTTCCAAAGATGGCGTTTCCACTGTAACCTGTTATCTCCGTCAGGTTGTGGTTGCGGTAATTTCTTCGCAGCCAAGCAACAAACCTTGATCGGGGACTACTGAGCCCTGAGCGCTAACTAATAAAAATAAATGACGTTTGTCGCAAGATCTCAGTGAGATCTGTGGTTTGTTGCGTGTCAGTAATCTTGGCTATGCGTGGTTAAGCCACAAGCCAGAGTTAAGACTTTATTTTGAAATGAAGCGTCTGCTGAGTTTTTTATTTGGTCTTAGCGGCAGCTGTCCCTGTAGATGTGTACCACAGTATGCCGATTTCAGATTTCACTTTTCAGATTTTTTTATTTTTTGCACTGTTTCAAGAAGTTGGTTGCTACAAAAAATTACAATACATAACAAAATTAAGAGAAAATAAAACAACAAATTACACAAATCATCAAAGGTAAAATGTGCGCAGAGACCAACTCGACTAACTTGGCAGGCGTAGACACTAAAGTAACGTATAACGGAGACTGAGGAAAATTAAAAGTGCATACAGTCTTACTTACAATCTTATATAAAAAACGAAAAAATGACAATTGATAAGGAGGGCAGAGAAATCAAATTACTCATTGGGTATGCTTAATCTTCAAAATCTACTAAGTTCCCCCTTGAATCGAAACCTTTTACGCGCTGCCAGACTAAAATGAAACAAAAATGCCCTTCAGTTTCTTCCTTCTAAAGTTTGGATGGGGTTTAGAAAATTCTCAAGCAAGAGTTTTAAGCCCAAAAGTTAGGAACATTTACAACCCTCAAGGCAACAGGAAGAAATGGTTGTTCAACGGACGATTTGGAACAAACAAACTGCCGGAATACCACTGTGAAAACCTCTGGCTTTTCAATAAGTTTAACTGGTAAAACGATGAAACTGGAGGGTGAACTTATTGAACTTATTGAAATATTGATGCTAGAACACCCAAGAGAAGGAATATTTTATAGTTTAGAAATTGAATAACAAATATAACACGGGCGTAGAATTTGCAATTCACACGGGGGAAAAATACACAGTCAAGTAGTTCTTATGGCTTTAGATAGATAGATAGATAGATAGATTGAAACTTTATTTATGTGTCAAGAAAGAAAAACTAGCCGAGGGGCAGGCCCTCTACTTATATCAGCCATATTGGTGTCTCTGCAATTGCTTACTCTGCACCGATTTGTTTTCATATTCGGTAACAGATAGACATCAGCTGTTCCCTAGACTCACTCACAGTACAAATTTCATTTCCTAGCAATGTTGGTTTTGTTGAAAGATAATTAATAATTGCGTCATAACGAAATGAAATTTTCCTTCAGACCGTCTTCTCAGGTTAAAAGAAGCTTTTGACACCATTTGCATGCTCGGCAAATTAAAGTTCAACCTAAAAGAATTTTAGTGTTATTTTCGACACTCTTAATTTGCGGCTTTCGTTCTAAGATAAGCATAGGATGCCGTTCAATTTGGCATAAATCCTGTATTCACTGCCTATCAGACATATACGGTATCTCCCATGCATTTTAGTAGTGAAGTATTTGAAGTTATTTAATTGCACCTAACACAGTACTGGGTGTAATTTGGGGGAAAACGTAATGAAGAAAAATAACTTGACCTCGTTACTTAGCATGTCCGAATAGAAAAAGCCAGGGTTGCTTTTTAAAATGTATTTTAAAAAATAGTATGAAGGTAGCGTTTGGGCACAGCAAAACGTAATAAAGCAATATCTTTTGTTCTATATGTCGGGTTGGCGTGTTTTAAGATTTATTTGCAATTGCAAAGTCAATACAGCTGTGTAAATGGACAGTTGTAGACTGGTGTAAACGTTTCTCTTGCCAATTTCAGTGAAACAAAATTTAAAGTCTTATCAATATTCTCTTTGCTTTTTACCAGCATTAATAACCTTTTGTAAGCTTTTACATGTTCGGCCGGAACGTGGAGAGGATTAGAACGAGGGGAGGGTTGGAATCTCCATTTTCGGTTTGATTTTCGGCGATTCCTTCTGTTAACACTTTGAACGTATCAGATTTCAGCCATCCGCTAAGTTCCCCTGTCTTTTTTACGGGCCAGTTAAAATTTCACCCCATTTTTCACTTATCATAGCAATTTATACATTTTTTATCCCAGTTCTCTTAACCCTTTAAACCCTAAGATCATAATTGAGATTCTCATTTACTGTCCCTATACTTTTTCAATAGAAGTAGTGGGGAGAATTTGATGAAGTATCAATTAGACTCATCCTCCCTGATCGTATACTCAATTCTCATGACCACTCTGTTTTCTAACACATCGATATTATAAGGAGAAATTTGATGCCGATCACTCTTAGGGCTTAAAGGGTTAATTCTCAGCTGTCATAAAATTTGGCCAGTTCTATCTTAGCTATCTGTCCGAACGCTTATCAGACCCTAATTACATTCAACGCTACGTCCGAAACACCTTTGTTGGCTTCAGATATACACTAAAGTATGTAAGTGTAAGGATTTCATCAACTGGAGTAAAAGAAAGGGTTGAGAAATCTGTTAGTTAAACTTTAAAGGTCTAGCCACAGCACTGAACTGAATAAAATCGTGATATAGTTAATTTTGCTCACCATCTCTAGTACCATGGGTAGTGCTTAGTGTTCTCTTGTAGTTAAAATTGTCCTGATTGCCTTCATTCTAAGGGTTGTTTTTAGGTAGGTATGTGAGAGGGGTTCCACATTTCAATGGGATCCATGCGAAGCTCAGGGTAAAATTTATGTCAAACATGTTACAAACTTAAAGGTTGTACCTCGGGGCCGAGCCTCTACCCTTAACTTTGTTGAGTATAACCCCCAGCCCCCCTCCGCCCCTCCCGCCCCGAATGGCAGAAACTCTAGTTGCAGAAATAGGGATTGCCGTGAGCAAAGGAAACATTAGACTAACAGCTTGTGCCAAAAAGCATGTCGTAAATTTAATAAGTATGAAACCTTTTCTTTCTCCAGTTCTCCCCTGGTTAAAATTGTTTGCAGGTTTTTTCAGTCAATTTTCTCGGAGCAGACGTGATATATTTTCCCTTCGTTAAGAACTGGACTGATAAGGGGCATAAAAGACGCTAACAGAAGCTAAAATATCTTTGATTGGTGTTTTGCATAAATTTTCACGGACATTCTTCGTTTTGAAATTGCCATTTTACTGAATTTTG